ACCATTTTGAATATTGTATTTACATTTTCTGATCAAAACTATTGCAAAAAAATTAAGTGTCGGCATGAACTAAAGATCGCGAAGTGGATATTCGACCGGATTTCGATGGTCTTGAGGTGTCCTGCAAAATACCATCTTTGATATACCTGCCCTAAATTCTGGCATCCGCACTGCATAGAGAATAGGATTTATTAGCGAGTTGGCAAAGAATAATGTTATTATAGTGCCAGTAATTGTAAGAGGAGTGGACCAGTTTGAAAAGGACATGATATGAAAGAAAATCATAATGTTCACAATAACACCTGGTAGAAAAGTTAATAATGATGCTATGGTGACAAGAAACAATGTTCTCGTCAGTTTTCTCTCCCTCAGGCCGGCTGCACCATTAAGTTGATGTTGACGACTAAAACGAACTTTGATATAAATTGAAATGTAACATATGCACATGAGAACCAGAAGAACGAAATAAGAACTATAAACCCAAATAAAGCTAAACGGCCGAGTGATTACTGCTTCCATTGTACTTTTGCATATTGCTGATAAATATATAAAAGCTATGACTAGTCCATAAACCCATTTCGTGATTAAACGGTGCTTAAAAGGGCAATATGTGGCGTGTACTCGTTCAAACGAGATGAAAGCGAGATTAACAAGAGATGTGAAGGGGAAAAAAGTACGTATTGCTAAACTTATTCTTGAAAACGTTATATCCCAACTTTTCCCGTAACACCAACAAACGAGTGAATGTATCAGCATCGGTCCTGATACGGCTCCGACCAACAAATCAACTATGGCCAAATGGATGATCAAGTATGTACTTTTCCTCTGTAGCTGGCGCTGCTTCACAAATACAATAATGGTGATGAAGTTGAGGATGACTATGGCCAGACATTCGATGCTGAGCATAGCAAACCACGGGATACAGGAACAGGTTGGAAGCGACCACTGGTGCTTATGGCTCGTGATATAGTGGGAAGCTACACTAGAGTTGGTAGCCATTGACTTCCACTGAGATTGGTTTACTGCAAGCCAAATAATCTAAGTATGTATGAAAACGTAACAGTCTACAGAAAGCGAAAAAAGTAACAATATTCCAGGACAAGGACTATTGTTGATGATGATCTTTCTATTTGAAAGACTATGGATGTATGTCATACTAGTAAGCGGCGAAAAGTCTGATCGATCTTAACTGATGAGTGACACTGGACAATTGCCACAGAACTTTTATAAAGAATCAAATTTTGTACCGATTATCAAATGGTGAAAAAATGATATTCAAAGACAAAGAGTTTAAATAATTTTCTAAAACAATTCAGCGTCGTCTTGTTAACTATTCAAAAAAATGGGGCAAAATTAAATAAATGCAGCTTGACAAATTTCCTCGAGACGCATCACCCCGGAATT